TAGTAAAACTAGAATTTACTGCTAGTCAAAAATGAATTTGAGTTAAAACTAGTTTTAACTAGACAAAACGGGTTTTAACAAAGACATTCAGTATAAACTAGTTTCAACTAGTTAAAACGCGTTCTAACTAAAAACGGGTTTTGACTGTAACATATACATATAAAACATATATATATATAACGAAATGTATAATTATTATCGTTGTATAATCATACATTTTACAATACTCATATGAAAAACAAAGTATTATTATTAACCAACTTGTTCTCGAATTCTCGGTTCTAGTTAGTTAATTACTATTCTGTAGAAAGCAAATTGGCAGCACTGTGTTACCTTATTTTTTCAATGAAATGTATTAGTTGCCTGTTTTAGATAAATCGGCAATTAATTTGATTATAGAAAGTTTTCGATTCTTAAACCTTTTTGATTCTGCCCCAATTAAATTCTACAATGAATGGATTAAAACTTATATATTAGAAGTAAAATTAAACGATAATTAATTTTTACAATATACTTTTCGTATATTATTGCTTGTATTGAATTGTAGTGTTAGCATTTCAGTTTTATATGAGTTTTTATAACAGTCTCTGTTATATCAGTAAAAAGTTCATAGTTACAGTTTAAAATATAATTTTAATCATTAAAAAATTTTGTATTTGGAATAAAATTCTCTCAGATCTCAGGAGTGTAGAGAAAATATTTTGAAATCTGTTTAACAAGACACTATTAACATTGTTGGTAGTTACAAAGATTGAAATTAACGATTACTAAGATTATTAAAAATTCCTCGGAGTCATATCGCAGAATAACTACTGTTTCACTCTGTCATCGGAAATTCTAATTGAATTATAGTAGTACAGAGATCACTGATACTATAATTCAATTAGAATTTCCGACGGCAGAGTGAAACAGTAGTTCTTGGTACTCGAATTAGCTTATTTGCTCATAAGGATCTCAGCCGAGAATTGTCCGAATACCTAGCACAAGTTCTCGTCGACCGCGGGGAATTTTTGGAATTGAATAGTTCTAAATTCTTGCATTCGAACATCATCTTTTCCTGATATCGCGAAGAAAAATAAAATGATAATTGTTCCATTTTGAATATAACTAAGAAATTTGCAATTTTTTAAAATGTCACTGTTTTAAAAACTGAACATTTACAATCTTATTTGCTCAATTTATCAAGCTATATCATGCAGCAATATATAAGCCTATATATTTGTTCATGATATAAGCTGGGGTGTTATATATGTTTCATTCAAATTAAGCTCTTGGATTTACATTAAAGAAGGGTATATGGCCCGAAATGTACATATTAGTTTAATAAAATCTCAGTAAGCTTTCCAATTGAAAACTGGTGTGATAAGTCCTTAAAATTTATAGTAAATTACATATAGCTGCTTAAAAGATTAAACTCTTGGAGTTTGAAATGATAAGATGAAATAGAAAATTAAATATTAATTTAATCGAACAACTAAATACTCTGATTAATGGAACCAATATTTGTTATTTTCTAGACAATAGGTATGTTCGAAAAATAGAAAATTTTACATTCTACTAAATAGAATACGTATAGTACATCAAANAAACTGGTGTGATAAGTCCTTAAAATTTATAGTAAATTACATATAGCTGCTTAAAAGATTAAACTCTTGGAGTTTGAAATGCATATTAACGTAAATTGATCTCTTTTCTGACCGAATCTTTAAAACTTCACCAGCAAATTGGATATTATCCAAGAGCACATATTATGAGAATGGCTTGTTGATTCTTTTTGTTTCGTGCCAGCATTACTTGGATATTGATATATTCTCTCGTAAGTAGTGATATCCTATTTATGCCATATAAATATTTCTCGATCACTGACGTAATTGAATAAGGATAGCGTTTATATTATCATGATTAGTAGCAATTTCGTGAAAGATATAAGTCGTGTGAACATTACGGACGAAGAAAACTTGATCATAGTTGTTCATCTGATTTAATAAGCTGAAAGAGTTGCTTGTTTAGAGAGGACGCACTTATGTGACGCGACAGCGAAAAGCAGTGTCGCAAACGAATCTTTGCTGCCCTGGCAGCACGACCACACAAGTGACAATCAGATAAGGTTTCAACGAATGAGTATAATATTCAAAATGGCAAATGATGCCAACATTGCCGTTACGAATTTCGTTTTGTGCGGCTCGCTTTATTAAGCTAGAAGACGTCGTCGAAAATAATTTTACCAAAGATTTTCGATTAGAAATATTTTCTTAGATCCAGAAAGAATTGGTGTGCAAAATTCCTCGATTAAGATCTTTCGATAAAAATTACTATTTTGAGTAAGATTCGTTTGTTTTGTCTTTTGAATTAAACACAAATTCTACACAAATAATCATATATAATTAAATTTATTTTTCTCTCCTCTTTTTATTATAATGCCAGTTATCACAGTTAACCTCGTGGAACTTTCCGGCATTAAAACAAATAATTCGGTGTTCTCACGAACTATTATTGGCTAATAAAAATGGGTCTTGGCGGCAGCCGCTTCAGAAGATAGAATTCAGACAATTTTTGCGGCACGAGAAAAGCGACACAAAATCGACTTCTGCGACAAAAATTGACATCATTTTGCTGTTTTTCGCTGTCGCGCCGCATGTGTGCCTCACCTTACGGAATAATTCTTATGAAAATAAAATTTTCATTGAGATAATCCGAACCAAAAATCTAAATTATAAGTGAAAGGCTACCATCGAAAAAATGTACCTTTCAATAATAATATTTTGCTCGCAATATAGAATTCGGCATATTTAAATGCAATTTGACAGCGTTTCTATATTTATTTAATGGCATAACGTTCAGATGACATCAAATTGATGTAATTAACACTAAGAACTAAAAAAAATGCCTGAAGATTAAATATGACGTACGTGAAGCCAATCTATATTGATCGTTCCAATCTCTAATCTATGTCAAATATAATCCAGATAAATAAGCCAATTAATTTTTTTAATTAATTAAATAATTATCTATCTGCTAAAAATTTACCTTTTTCAAAATGTGAACGGTAAAATATCTTTGTTGAACTGTAAAAAGAGTTGTAACGAGAAAAAATTAAATACAATTTGAAACATTTAGTTTAAATTTATGAAACTACCTAACAAACCTGGCTGTGTTGAAAACATTTAGTAGCCGCCATTTGTTTCAAATACCCAAATGAAAGTATAAAATATACCAAAAAGTTTGAATTCAGGAATAGAATGTCTGGTAGATTTCGGATATAATGGATATTAATGTCCATTTTCAGAAACTCTTAGGCCTACCACTGAAATCCTATATTTCAAATACAAGACATAAAATATTACTACAGTAGAACCTCGAAAACTCGACCTAATGTGGACCGAAGGGTGGCCGAGTTTGTGAAAATGCCGAGTTATCGGGAATGGGGTTAAAAAAATAAGTACGAGTATTTCCTCAGAAAATACTGTACTGTACTTGTACAGTATTTACTTGTACAGAATATAACAGAGAATAAACTGCCCAAATACCCTTAAACAAAGGAAAAGTACGTCCTTTATGAAGGCATAGAGCCACTACATGAAAATGAAAATTAATGAATACACTGTGTACAGTAATTTACCTGATAAGACAGACCTCAGAAAAATACTTTATGAGAGCTTTTATACTTTTATAAAGCTGTCTATAATGAAAATTAATTAACTAAGAATTTTTTCGCCCTGCCAAGGTGTGGACCAGTTATCCGGAGTGCTAAGTTATCGAGGGACGAGTTTTCGAGGTTCTACTGTAATATTATTAAAGACTGAACTATGCTTTTTTCAATTATAAAGGCAGACGGTATATTCTTATTCATAACGTATAAAATACAGAAGAAACTATGGAAAAGTCGGAAGCAAAGACGTTTCAGTTTCTTCTGTATTTTATACTTTGTAAATATGCTTTTTTTTAACCCTGTAGGTACTGAGAGTTTTTTCAGGTACATAGTGGATTTGGCCAAACCCACACTATGGGACCAGACCCACGATGGACCCAAACATGTGTTCACCAATAGTACATTTCTATTGTTGAAATATATGAAATAGAAATGTCTATTTTCATCTTGACATCAGAGTATCTTAAGACTCGATGTCATCGATAAACCTAGCCATAGCATTTTGATTTGCACATCAACACAAAATACTGAAAATACATCTAAACTTGTGTATTAAATATATACATTAATATAGGCCTAACGCTCGATTATTTGCATATTTAGATACTTTTTAAATTTTATTGCATAAGTTTAAAATTGAACTTAATTTAATTTCTGACAAATGCTTATACAATATTTTCTAAATTTTATAAAATAGTTTTATACAAATACATTTTGTGCGGCATATTGAATTTAATAAAAGTTTTTGTACTTTTAAATTTTCATAAATTAAATTTCGATGTAGATCGTTAATAAAAATAAAATAAAAATTAACAATTTTATTTAAATGAATTTCAATTATTTAATATCTCAGAAAATAGGGGAAAAAAGAAATAAAAGAATACAAAAAAATTGTAAATACAAAGAAAGTTGCTGTAATGGATGTATGATGGAAAAAGAATCTTGTATTAATAATTGTCTTCAAACATAAAAGAAAAAGATAATTATTCTAAATGGATATTGTGTCCTATTGTTCTTCACTTCTTTTGTTGATTGTAAGATCCATTATATCCATTTACTCGTATGAAATCAATAAGAATAATATAGAATAAAGAAATTTTAATTATTACCTTTTAAGTACTTTATAAGAATAAACACGCACAGTTTAGTTAATACTATAAATTTATAAATTATTCATAAAATAACAGACCTCGAAAAGATGATCGTAAATTTGGAAAATATCCAACATCCCTGCGTGGAATACAAATTTTATTTTTTTTAAAAAAATATAACAAAAAATTTTATTGCTTATGATATATTGTGCATCACGTTTTAATTTTAGAAAATGTATCTTTACCAGAGAAAGCTGTTGTTACTTTAATTGTTTCTCACTTTATTAATTTTTTAATTTATTTTTCTTATATGAAATTCTCATTTCATCTTTATCTAAATCGACTTAATAAACATAATGTAACTATTTTATTCTGTTAGGAATAATTTAATTCAATTAAGAATGTTGCTATTTAAGTTTAATTATATTAATAATTAAGCATGATTAGAAGAAAATTATTAATTATAACTTTTATTTGAAAGGAATAAATCTAAATTTGCTCTAAACTTATGTAACGTTAAAATATCCTAAATTATAAATATCAACATATCAATAACTTTACCGAAACAAATCTATTGTTTAATCTTATTTAAACGCAAAAGTACAGTACATATGTTAATCGAAATACGAATTACAATTGATGTAAATACAATTGAGTAGCATTAATTAATGTTTTAAAAGAATAAATGTATCGGTTTATATTAAATTAAATACAGGATGATCTTTAGGAGACGGATTTGTATGCAAAGGTATATTCCAGCATTTTGTATGCAACTATGAACATTACACGCTGCTGATTCATCGTAAGAAGTGTGAGATTAACCGATTAGAGTGAGGAGTTTTCCGACAGCCGAGCGGTCATTACCGTCATGAGGGCGCAGAATGACCCGTTTAATAAACATAGAAGTCCTCACAGAAGTTCCAACTATCTTACTATAAAATGGCTGTAATTGCGTATTTCTAGTGTTTTAGTATATTTTTAAAGCATTGCATGTTTTTACACATTTGTTCAGTTTAGTGATTTTTTATGTCAAAGAAATAAGACGCTTTTTTTCTTTCGTACATAAAAATTATATATAAACAATTTTCTTTGAATATTTACATATCTAAATGTAGGACGGAAGCTTCTGACGTATGGCATAACATTATATATAGTCGTAAATTTTATATAAAATTCACAGTAATACATGATAAAATATATAAACTTTTTATAAATTTAAAAGAAATAATACTAAATAATTTTGTTAAATAGCCAAAATCAATCTGTTTTCAAACACACCACTGGTGTTAGAGAATATACTATATGTACAGTACAGTACTGTATATATTTGTGACTGTGTTACCAACGATTTCCAAATGGACGACTGCAGAAAAATAACAGGATTTAACGACTCGTTCATAAATATGGAGGAAGAAGAAAGACATGATTTTCACAAAATTAAGATATGCTTTTTTAGTATTAAAAATTAAAACTAAATTTTAATTTTAAAGTTTGAATTTATTCAATTGTGTTTAAACTTAACAAATTTCTTTCCAATTCTAATTAAAAATTTTCTTATGCTAAGCTTTTAAAATGTTTTACTGAAATAAATGAACTAGTTTTATTTGTTTATTTACTTATTTAGTGGTTATTTTCAAGTCTTAATCTCGAGCCTGTGATTATTACAGGAGTTCGGGATATCGTTTATGTATTTATGGTCAGTCCTGCGCAGCTCTGTGGCAAATAACAGAATTCCACAAGTGTTGCTAATATATGGCAATGACTTTAACAACTTTCAGACTTTTTCCTCTAATAGTGAAAATACAAAACGTTTTAAAACGTTAGGTGGGCCTTATTTGGCAAATGTACTGTACCTTGACGTATCTGGACGTGTATGCTGCCGTCGCCAATCTTCAAAATCTTCACGCCAGATGAATATACGGCATTACGAGTAGAATATACAGTAACTCTACTCCGCATAATTCAAACAAATATATTTGAAAAATTGGATAGTTACTGTATATTCTACTTGTAGTGCCATATATTCACCTGGCGTGAAGATTTTGAAGATTGGCGACGACAGCGTACACGTCCAGTCAAGCACAGATAAGAAGTTCACTACCAGGGCTATTTCGTACACTCTTGGTGGTGAAATAATACAAATTCACATAAATATACAATGCAAATATTAATACTTAGATCGTTGCAACTAGCAAATTCATTTTTTAAAATATTTTATTCCATTTTTTGTTATTTCATAATTAAAATCGGAATCTTAATTAGAAATGTATTTTGAGCCTCCTCGACATTGGTGCACGCACTGCATACCCGCTTATGACGGCCCTGATCGAAGTTTCAAAGAAAAGTGTTTTGTCCAGAAAGGCAAGAGAATTTAGTATAGTTCGTTTCCAAAATCTTAGTGGAGCGATGCGCGGTATTAGAAAGAGGCTCTACAAGTTTTAAAAAAATTTACTCCGATGACGTCTTACAACAAATTCAAATTTTAAAATAAGATTAAAGAAATTTTAATTGAAACCGTTATATAACTTTGATTTTGCAACATCATTCTTGAAATTTGCCGATCATTTTGTACCAAACATTTCCTGTTATACGAGTTAATAAATTAACTATGTGAGATATCATTGGTTGGTAAAAATTTAAATATACTCAATTTGAAGCTCGTGGTAAAATCAATTTTATAACTTACCTTAATCATTGAAATAAAGATATGTTCTAATAGTTAAAGTCTCTTCTTCGTGATTTTCAAGTAGCAATAAAGTTTATGCATAATAAAAAATACGAGAAATAATTATGTTTAAGCAGTCATTACAAAAAAATACGTTCGCCTCCATCACAGGAGTAGTATTTAGAAATATTCTAGGTTAACATTTAGAATCAGAAAATTGCAATTTATTTACAGAAGTGATTTTCAAAAAATATTTTTGTAAAGAAATATTACTATCACCGAGGAAAACATACTATAAGAGTTAATGTAATTATAATTAATGTGATTAAATGAAAGATTATAGATAAAAATATAGGTTTTATTTTGTAAGTTTCATTTGTACAATATATTATATTATTAAAATATTAATATATAACATAATATTATGTTATATGTTAACTAAAGTAAACAGAAAATAGGTAATCTCCTTTAAGAATCGTCTACAAATTAAAATACAACGCACGTTCAATAGAATACCGGAAAAGTGCCATTAAAATTTGGGAGGATGAGCAACAGCGTATTAATTTTGGTACACAAAACATCCAATTCAGAGCAAAATGTTTCACACAAACATCAGTTTTATCATCTACCATATATCATACATGGCATTTATGACTGCTTTTCGAATTTCATTAAGTGAGTCAATTTGAATCTAACATAAAACAGTCAAAATGATGAAGTATCGATACAGAAATTGTGATTAACAAATAAATTAATACGATGAAATATGAAAAGTTAAGATTAAGATGAATATTTTACAGATACATTCGATTAAAGTCGAGTATCATCGGTTTCGTATTTAATGTAAAGATAAGCTCAGACTATTGCTAACTGATTTTCAAACATGCTTGAACTTGTCACAGCATTTAAAATCGTTCCAGGCTTATATTAATTTTGAT